GGTGGCAAATAGAAGCTTCCTCCTGGGGTGGCTGGGGCACTGTGTTCAGGACGAGTAAGAGTCGTCTCCTCAGCCTGGAACAGCAACGTCAACTGTTATATTGCGCACGGTTCATGAGGCTTTTCCATGTTAATATATGGAAAACAAGGCGTGGCATAAATGATTGAACTTTAGAAACAACCATAACAATAGCGTTGCTAAGTATAATCAGGGAGTCTGATTAAAAAAGAGCGATGCAGAATAAGAGTTGTGTGGTAACTTAATGAAATTTAGGCGTTTACCCTGTACATATAAAATCAATGGTATGTGCGAGACTCCCAAAATAGCTAGTACTTACCAAAGAAAGCTCATGGATACTCTCTGAAAGGGCAATAAGTTGTGGGTCTTAGCAATCAGCTCTGACATGTTCTCCAAGAGTTATCCTACATTTACTACATATTCCTTGAAAAAACGGCAAAACGATAATAATTATTGAATAATGATTCAATTTTAGTATTCAACATTGCTCTTCCGAATGTAACTTGGCTCTTATGAAACGTAATGTAGCACTGCAGTCTATGGATTTTATTCCAATGGACACTTACCAGAGCCGACTGGAAGAAATATTCCAGCAATACGCAAGATTAATCTAGAGATGTCTTTACTGATTCCACGATCCGTAGTACGAGATTTGCGGACGTGCTTCGACAGCTGGGCTGGTATACGGCAACGCGCCAAACCCCTTCGCCACCCAATGCCCAGCGAAGAACGATGAGCGGGACAAATATCCATGTCAGAAATGTTGGAAGGGAAACTGAAGATTGAAGACCTTGCTAGAATCCGTTCCACTTCAGTGTCTACGCCGCTGTCGGTCTCAGCCCAAGAGAGCTTTTGTGGCGTGATATATCCCTGTTACAAGTTAGCAAGGGAACTAAATCTTGGACTTTAGTGCTTCGAGGGTCTTGACCGCAATGGCCACCAACTAGCCGCTGAAACGAGTAATTTCTCTCCATTTTCCAATTCTTTAACAGATGACGCAGAGCAAATGACTCAATTTCAACAGAAGTAAACATATGCGTTCTAATTACTCGGGATGCCGAATTGTAAATAATGTTTGATTTCAATTTGTTTTTTGACAAAGTGAACGTTCGAGTTATGCAATACACTTTAACAGACCTAAACTCATTTTCCTGCGCATATCTTTCTAAAGTTGTAAAGATTTTAATCCAGTGGAGTTTGTCCGCGTGATAAGGTTTGCTGAATTTAAGAAAAAGTTAGAAGCCTCGCACATGCTAGCTTCGCTTATCGGGCAAGCGATCGACAAGTTCGATTTTGAAAGATAACAGCTCGAACTCTGTGAGAATTCTATATTTAGAACTTTTTGAGAGGTAAACAAAGCGTTTGCAACAGATCTATTTGCGTTTGGTAATTATCTGTTTTAAACTTAGATCTCCCTCGTTGGTAACCGTCAAAACAGTTTTACGTGCTCTATGGTCGTACGAAAAGAAACATGTCTCGTGCGAACCCTAAAGAAAATCATTTTCAGTTTCCTA